CCCCAAAACCCCAAAACCCCAAAACCCCAAAACCCCTAAACTGATTTAAAACAATAAAATTTAAATTAAAATAGTGCGCAATAAATGAATTCAATTCTAATGGAGGGGAAGGAGAGATTCAGGTCTCTCTTCAGCAGGAACAGGTACTGACTCTATCTCAAGCTTCATCAATATCTAACATGTCTTTATATAGCCAGAAGAAATTGTACTCTGAAGATACTCTTAGTCAGGGATCCCTGCCTGATAACTCTGGGATTTCAGGTTATTATAAAAGTTCAAGGGCTAACCAAGACAATTGTTCGCAAATCTATCAGAAACAGGAAGACAGTATCTGCCAAGAAAGCCAGAGGTAATTTTTTATCCCAGTTTTGGGAAGATTTATCCATTTTCTAATAAGAATAGAGCTTGCCAAACTAATAGAAGGGAGACTGTCAATTATGAATGTGAGAGTTCTAGCTCAGGATCGAAATATTTAGACAGAGTCCCTAGTCAGTCTGAATTCTACTGAGAAAGAACAGCTTTTGACTCTAGAAGCAAGGATTTAGAGCCAAATGTATTTTCAAAGGATTTGAAAGGAAATAAGCTCCAGCTTATTGAGAAGCTGGATATTGGACGCTGTAATGATGAAGAAAATGAACCTAATATTGATAATGAACTTGATGACAGTCTTATTCAAGACCAAATAATGTCAAATTTCAAAACCTGCAACCCTAAGGCAGATAATTTATCAACCAAGGCTAAGGTGAAATCAAGAAATTTTAGAGGTATTGAGAGAAAGTTTAGACTAAAGGGTCTCAAAACTTCTAATACTTGCAAAGAGAATATTCCAAATAATTCAGGTATTTTAAACATTAAAAAATTTCAGATATTGGCAATGCTTTCAAAAATCAGGGCAATAGTAGCTTTTCTATGAATCAAAATCATTTACATCTACATGTGAATGTAACAAATAGTGATTTCAGATGTTTTAACAAATCCGGAAAGAGGTCTTCACTATCTGACATCGATCGTGCTCCTCCTAGGAATCTAAATAGATCTGCCCTTGGGAGTAATCAAATCAAGAGAATAAGCAAAGAGAATCTACTTGCGAAGAAAAACAAGCTTCAGTATACTCCGCTTACGATGAATGGAATCTTAAAGGAAAATGCTCAATATAAAGCATTTCAGGAAAGTGGACCAGAAGCCAAACAGAGAGAATCTTACAACATGAGTTTATCTCATTCCTCCATAACACGTAAACCAAGTGAGCACTCTTCGATTAACCCCAATGCCTTTAGTAAGATCCTGATTGTAATTATTTAGACTCAGCCTGCGTGATTCAAAAGAATGCTGACAATTCAAAAGTGAGTTCAAGAATGAAAGATTTAAGATCAATGTCCTCTAAAAATCTGAAGAATAATGACCGAAAGAACCTTCGAAGATCTATGTCATTTCTCCGAAGATCTATCTCTCCCTTCAATGGTGTCCAGACTTACAAACAAGATGCCATAAAGTTAATATGAAGGAGATTTGAACTAAAAATTAAAGAATACTTCTACCTCATAAAGGAAGAAGCCAATAGGAAGAAAGTCAAGAAGAAGCCTAGAAAGATCTCTCAGTGCACTAGGCAGTCAATATCTTCACTAAAGAAGGCAATTGGGTATTGTAAAGACATCGAAACGTCTTTTGAGAAATTGAATAATAACTCTCCTAATACCAATAGAATAAAGAAAAGTAATGAACTGAGAAGGTCTATTCAGGCCCTTGGTGCTCATTGTAAGCTAGTAGGTAACTTTTAGGCAACTCTATTAATCAGCACATCGCTCACTTAGAAGAGAGAGTTGGTGAAGGAGAGCAGAAGAGATCGAATGCGAACGGATTTATTATTCAGCCTGACTTAGACAGTAATTGGCCTCTCTCTAACACATAGTTCATAAGCAGAAAATTATTGGAAGAAGAAACTCAGGGGTTATAAAAAATCAGAATTGATATGTAGAACTTTCAGCTCAGACGTTGGATCAAAGGAATGCCCATCACTCAATAATGAAGGTAAAATTTGTTTTAAACTCTGTAGAACTCCGGCTATACCAGACATGAAAGTAGTGATTCTGACTATTTCTCACCAAAAATTTATGAAAACTCCGGTTCAAACATCCCTGCGACAACAAAGGCTAAGAATAAATGTCTACAGTCTACTCAGGAGGTGCCCAGGATGAACTTATTCACTGACATTCTGAACAAATTTATTCAAAATTATAAAAAGAGGGAAATGAAGAGCTTCATGATCAACCTGTACCACAGAGTCTATCCTCAGCTAGACAACTATGTGTCTCGATATGAGATCTCGCAAGGTAAGAAGCAAGCATAAATTTTTAGAGAAGTCTCCTAAAAAGCAAGAAATTGTGAATACAGAAGCTTATGAGAGCACTAAGAGCACTGGAAGATTCAAACTCAGAAATGACTTAAATGAAATCTCCTCACCTAGATACTCCCACAAGCAAGAATCTTACTTTGAGACCAAGGATAACTATAGTAACAACGGTGAAGGTCACCAAGCTCAAGAGATGCTTAAATTTAAAGGACAGGACGACTCTTGTGGAGTAATCCAAGAACATGAAGTCGAGGGAAATGATTTTTCTAATATCAGCACTCTTGAACCTCCAAGTAAGATTATGGCAATAACTGATAGATGCAAATGAATTCACTCATCATCTGGGAAATGAGAAATATCATACAACTCAGAATAGATATGATGCCGATATCAATATTATTGATTCTTTTTGAGAACCTGAGTTTACTCAGGAAGCATCCAGACCTCCCTCAGATTTCACCCTTCACCGAAGATCTCCATCACATTCAATGGCCCAGATGATATGGAGATTAAAGAAAAGAGCAGCTGGAGCTATTTTTGAGAGATACCGGTTTGAGATGAAGCACGCTTTTGATAAATGGAGAACTTTCTGAGACCAAAAGGAGATTGAAGATCTTCGAAAGCATAAACTTTCTCGGATAATCTTTTCTAAGCATAAATATCCTCTCAGAGCAGCTATGAATAAGCTAAAATTACACTGAAAGGACCAAATAGTAACAGAGCAAGTTAATAAAACTCTTGTAAATCGCTGGAGGAAGCGGTATGTATTCAAAGTATTCAAGATCCTCCGTAACAGTCATGCTAAGTCGGAGAGGACTCCTTCTAAGACCCAATGAATACCTAGGAAGAAGATAAAGAAGGTTTCTAAATAACCAATTTCAGCTTCAAGCTGCCCTGAAATTTACGGGGTTTTGGGGTTTTGGGGTTTTGGGGTTTTGGGG